CGCGGACTCAGGCAATTCACTCACCTCAGCCTCCCAAAGCGCGGGATTACAGGCTGAACCACCGAGCCCGGCTGAGCCGTCATTTCTAAGGGAGCCAGTGGCCCGAGTGGCCCAGGCTTCGCCTGTGTCACTGGGACAACCTGCACCTGAGTTTTGGGCTCACAGGATATGGTGTTCCCTTGGGTATCCAGGTGATTGTATTGTTACTTTGTGGACATCTCATGTGTTGACGGTGCCCCAGAAGTTCAGGGCCATGGGATGGAGGGAAGGGAGAGGCAAGAGGGGGCCGGGCAGGAGGGAATGAGGGCCCACCTGGCTGGTTTCAAGAGCCCATGTCCTGTGGATGGTGTGGCTGCCAGATGGGAAGCAGCCTCCTTCGAGGGGGACTCCTGGGTTCCCAGAGACTTCACTCCATGGTTGGCCCCCAACCTCCGTGGTTGCCCCAGCGCTGGGGATGTGGGTCCCCCTAGGCACCCTCAGCCCTGGGCACTCAGCTCGGGCACCCTCAACTCCGGGCACCCTCGGCCCCCACCACCCTCAGCCCCTGCCACCCCCAGTCTCTGCTACCCTCAGTCCCTGCCACCCTCAGCCCCCACCACCCTCGACCCTGGGCACCCTCGGTCCCACCATCCTGGGCTCACATCATGGGCCTGTGCGTCTGATCTTTCTCCTGGTTCTTGTCCCTGCAGTTCACGCTCTGAGGCCTTCTGACATTAAAGTTGTGGCGGCCATCGGTGATCTGGAGCCCGTGAGTACCTGGAGAGAGGGCTTGGGGCAGGAGGTGGGCTTATTGCTGGTGACCCTTTCCATGGGCGCCCTGCACCTGGGCAGATGCTCCATTCTGGGAGAGAACGTTATGGGAATCGGAGAAATCCTGACATCCAGGAAGCAGAGGCTTTTACTTTTTTAAGTCAGATGAACGCCTCCCTTTACATCGGGGGAGAAAGCTTTTGGAACTCCTGTCAATAAATTCGATTTATTGACAAATCGAATCAAAGACCACACAGAATTTTTAAGGTAATCTTGTAAACTATTTATGAGATAAAATATTTTATGTATCTGCTTTGTAAATTTTTTAAAAACCCACCAGTCTTTTTTAATCATTTTGGAAGATGGATTCTGGATTTTGGAGGGTCCCAGTGAAATTCTACAAGGAACACTGGCATGTCCTCAGGAGACAGCTGAGCCTGCACATGGGGACGTGTCTGTTGTTTGTCTGTCGGCTGCTCTGGGTCTGAGAGCTACACCCAGCACGCTCCCCTCCATTGACAGAATGGGGGTCCACAGGTTCCGCTTGCTGGCAGGAGGGAAGTCTGTGGTGCCAGGTCTTGGGGGTCTCTGTCACCTCCCCGTGGGTGCTGACTCCAAGTGTCTTTTCCAGCCTCCAGTCTTGGGGATGGGCAACCCGGAGAAGCAGGAATGGTAAGAGTCCTAGACAGCGAGTGGGACGGGGCCCCGGCATGCCTGTCAGCATCCGGCCTCCTGCTGGGAAAGCTGAGGGCGTGACCTGCCAGACAGCAGGTGCCCACTGGAGTTGCTCTCAGAGTGGGCGGGGGCACAGTGGGCAGGGCATGCGTGCAGCCCCACACTTGCATATCTTCTGCTTTCAGGACTGAAGACAGGCCACAGCCGGCATGCGCGGGAGCTGTGACAGGTGAGCACCAGCTTTCACGGCCGGTTCCTGCTGTCCCCTCCTTCCCAACACAGTCCCTTAGCAAACAGGGTAGACTCTGCTGGCCACTCCTCTTGGGACCGGGGACAGGGATGGTTGCTGAGAGGACAGACAGGGAGGCAGGGTGTGAGGCCCTGGGTGGAGGCACGAGGAGTCCATCGGGGGCCCCGTTGGTGAAGGTGAGCTCTCCCCTCCAGCCCTGCTTTCGCCCACTGCAGCCATCTTGCAGATGGAAAAACCAAGTCAGGAGGTCACGGCCATTCCCAAGGTCATGTGGTCAGTGTGTGGTAGGGCCCCTGTGAACCAGGTGGCCCGACCCCAGCCTGGGCCTTAGTCTTGACCCCACTGCTGCCAGGGAAGCCAGGGAGGTCAGTGAGGGCCGAGCAGAACAGTGGTGTGACTGGCAGAGGTGTGCAAGAAGACACCAGAGAAGCCACACAACACACACGCTGTCCGCCTAGAAGGCGTGTCTCGCCGGTCACGGATGCCCGTCATTGGTCCTCGTGGACCGGTGCGTGCACACGTGCACGCTTGCCCTGTTGTCCTCAACCAGGCTCAGAATGTTCGTCTCCAACCCAGGAGGCAACGGGCTCATCTGCAGGCCACCCAGGGACTCGAGAGCGAAGTCCGTCAGGGTGGGCTATGAATGGAGAAACCGAGTCACGCCATGCTGAGGCCTGCCCGAGACCACCAAGCCCCGGACCCAGGCCCCCTCCCGCCCTGCCCCTTCCCACAGTGCCGGAGCCCTTGACAAGGGCCTTAGAGCCAGGAGCCCCGAGGCGCTTCTGATGGTATGGGGAAGGACCAGGACCGTGGGGGAGAATCTCCTCCCGTGACACTCTCTTCCCCTCCGCCCTCTCCTCTTGGGAGCGAGGCACGACTTACAGCTCCTGACAGCGCTAATTTTAGCAGTCCTCTGGCTGTCAGCTCTGGGACGTGCTCTCTGCGTGTTCCCGGGAGCTTCCCGCCCTGCTGTCACTCTCAGGAGCCTGGGCCCCTGTCCCTGCGTCACTTTCTCTAACAAGGCAGCAGCCTGTGACAGCTCAGAGCGTGGGTGTCCTAGCCTCTGGCTCCATCCCGCAGCCTCAGTTACTGTGAGGCCTGGGGCCACGGGTGGCTTTTTTCGACCTCAGTTTCCCCTCACGGAATTGGATATAACGTTGCCACGGGCCTGTGACTGAGGATTACACGAACTGTTGTATGTAGAGTGGTTGGTGCTGGGCCTGCCTGGCGCTCAGCGGAGGGCCATCTTCAGTCCCTCTCTTCCAGCCTGAGGCCTGGGGGCAGGGACAGCGACCCTGGTACTTCGCCCTGCGGGGGTCAGCCTTTTGGGGTGCCCTCCAGCCACGAAGGCCTGGGCCTTATGTCAGCTCTCTCTTTAGTCCTTGCAGACATCATCAGACACTTCAATCCTTCTGTTCTGCCGCCCATTTGCCCTCCCGGGAAGAGGGCTGGACCCCACGCCAGGGTGGAGTAAGTCCCTTTGTCCCACAGTTTTGGGTTCTGCAGGTCTTGGGCAGGAGAAAGCAGGGGGCTGGCAGAGTCAGGGAGGCTCAGAAGTGGGGGTCTGCCTTAAGTCACGGCCAGATGCCTCTCCTGTGCTGATCTCCGGCCAGCGCCCATCCTGGAGAAGCCAGGGGTGGTCCAGGATCAGAACTTGGCACCCGGGAGGGGCAAGGCCAGCTTCCAGTCTTCGCAAAGTCTCGTCACCTGCCTCTCCCCTCTGCTTTCCTCCCGGCGCACAGCGACTTGCAGGCCCAGGCTCGGGAGCTGGCCAGGAGCATGAAGGAGAACCCGGTGAGAGCCCGCCCTGCCCAGCCGGGCAGCCCTGCCCACCACATGGCAGTCGGCCCAGTGCCATGGCCCTGGCTCCATTCTGTTATCATGACCTCAGCAACCATTGTGGCTGGGTGCTCCAAAAATGTGCCTCCCAGGGCAACTCCCTGGAGGCCACCAGGGAGAGGGAATGATTCTTCCACTGGGAACGACCTTCTGGGAGGGCCTGCTGGGTCAGCGGGTGGACAAGAGGCCCTGGTACAAGGTGGTTCTGAGGGCCTGGGTTCCGGGTGAGGTGGGTGTGATGTTGGGTAAGGTGCTCACCCTTCCCGAGCCTCAGTTTCCCTGTCACAAGATGGGTCATGAAAGCGGCAGTGCAGAACTCAGGGAGGACTACACAAGGTAGTGGACATGTGCTGGGTCAGGCTCGGTAAAGTCCATGACTTCCTTGTCCTTGTCGTGGTGGTGGTTGTTGTTGTTGTTGGATTTTGGCTGTCAGGGCGGAGGCTGCTGTAACACATGTGCCAGTGCCTTTCCCAGCAGCCTGGCCCCAGCAGCTCAGACCCAGTGACCGACATGAGGGGCCACCAGGCACCCTGTGGCTTTGACTTTCTGTGCTGTCCTATGGGCAAGTACCATGTCAAGGCAAGCTTGCTGGCAGGCTGGATCCACCCAGCATGAACCTGGATCACTGGGACCCAGGGCCACTATCGTACCAGCCAGCCATGCACAGATCACAGAATTCACAGACCAAAGTGAAGGTGGTTCCAGGTCCTGTAATTTCATCTACAGGAGAATTTTAGGATTCCTGGAATAATAACAATAATATGACAGGCATGGTGGCTCACACCTGTCATCCCAGCCCATGGGTTCGAGACCAGCCTGGGCAACTTGGCAAGACCTCGTCTCCACAATAAATAAAAAAATTAGCCAGGTGTGGTGGTGCACACCTGTGGTTCCAGCTACTTAGAAGACTGAGGCAGGAGGATCGCCTGAGCCCAGCAGGTCAAGGCTATGGTGGCCATGAGCGTGACAGTGCACTCCAGCCTGGGCCACAGAGCGAGAATCTGACTCAAAAAAAAAATCAACCAGGTGTGGTGGCACGTGCCTGTATTTCCAGCTACTCAGGAGGCTGAGGGGGAAGGATCGCCTGAGCCCAGCAGGTTGAGGCTGTGGTGGTCATGAGCATGCCACTGCACCCTAGCCTGGGCGACAAAGTACGACTCCTACTCAAAAAATAATAATAACAATAATAATAATAATACACTTATTCTGAAAAATGGCCAGGAGGCTCTGAGTCCAGCCCTGCAGTGTTCCAGATGAGGAAACTAGAGTTCTGAGAAGTCACATGACCTACTTACATGCCCACAGCTCATGAGAGCTGAGATCTAGGGAGCCAGACTCACAGTCCAGTGCTCTTCAGCTGCACTGAGCTGTCTCTGGAGAAACACAGCAAAAGTGTGTTTTTTGCTACACAATAATGCATGTTCATTACAGAAAATCAGAACATAAGATAAGCAAAAAGAATGTTAAAACCATCCTTAAGCCTAATAGCCAAGGATTATTGCAGTTAATAACTTAGTGTATGTTCCCTTCCTATTTTTTCTAACTTTTATATATTTTTCAAAGCAGGGATGCTACTAGATGTAGACACTTTTTTTTTTAAGTTGATGTCTTGCTGTGTTACCTAGGCTGAAGTACAGTGGCATGGTCACAGCTCACCTCAGCTTCAACCTCCTGGGTTCCAGTGATCCTCCTGCCTCAGCCTCCCAAGTAGCTGGGGCTGCAGGCATGCACTGGTTAATTTTTTTACTTTTTAGTAGAGACAATGTCTCACCGTGTTGTCCAGGCTGGTCTTAAGCTCTTGGGTTCAAGTGATCCTCTCACCTCAGCCTCCCAAAGTGCTGGGTTTACAGGTGTGAGCCACCGTGCCCAGCCAAGATCCTTTTGATAAACTGATTTTCCTCAGTATACTTTCTCATGACAATACTTGCATTTTCCAGCATTTTTTAATAATTAGGCATCGTTTCATCGTACAAGTGTCCCACACTGTACACAGCAATCCCCCATGTTAGACAGTTACGGCATTTCCAGTCTGTCATTCTTTTTTTTTTTTTTTTTTTTTTGAGTTGAAGTCTCACTCTGTCACTCAGATTGGAGTGCAGTGGCCGCTCCCGGTCACTGCAGCCTCGACCTGCTGGGCTCCGGTGATCCTTCCACCTCAGCCTTCCAAGTAGCCGGAATTACAGGCGCGCGCTACCACGCCTGGCTAATTTTTTGATTTATTGTAGAGATGAGGTCTCGCCAAGTTGCCCAGGCGGGTCTCAAACCCGCGGGCTCAGGCAATCTACTCACCTCAGCCTTCCAAAGCATGGAATTACAGGCTGAGCCACTGAGCCTGGCCAGTCTTTCATTCATACGAGCAAGACATCATCGTGGTAGCTAAACCTTTGGTGCATCCTTGATTCCTGAAAAGGTGTTTTGGAAAATGATGTTACTGGATCAAAATGTGTGCCCTTCAGCAAGAAAACCTGTTGGTCTGTTTTGTCCAGTTGCCTTCCAGAGCCCCTATGCCGCCTCTGACTCCCACCACACACTTCCTGTTTTGAGAAAAATCTATCGATGTGATTTTAAAGGGTGGGAGTGTGAAATTGAAAGACACGAAGAGATGTTCCCTGGGTTCACGGTCTCACCACCTCTCCTTTTCATGCTGTGGCCCTTTTCTGCAGCAACTTGACTTTCACCTAGACTGGAAGCTCATCAATGTGTTCTTCAGTAACGCCAGCCAGTGTTACCCGTGTCCCTTGGCCCAACAGGTAAACCGAGGCGGGTGGCTAAGGGGCTGCGGGTGCTGGGTAGAGGTGGCATGACCTAAACCCTGATTTCACTTGTCAGGGTGGGGCTGACGCCTGATTTCAGAACTAGGGCAGGCAGGTAAATGATAGACCGACAAATGCTCAAGGAAACATCTGTTTTTCTTTGCATTTTTATTGTGGTAAAATATGCAGAACTCGGAATGGCCAGTCTTTGCCACCCTTCGGCGTACAGCTCAGGGGTGTCAAGCACACTCACAATGCTACAGTATCATGTGTCCACAGCCATCAAGGGAGCATGACACTCCAACTCGCCACCCCCCATGTCAGGCTGAGGACGCTGAGGTGCAGACAAGTAGAATCAACAGTCATTCTGCATCCGAGGAATGGTAGCTTCCTAGCTGGCTGAAGATTGTTTTGCTTCTTTAAATTCTGAGTTCGTGAATCTGAGGGTGCATACTTGGCCGTGGCCTCTGGCTGCGGTGGGAAGGCCTCTGCTTGCTGAGCGGACGGCATCTTCTGGGTGCTCTGGCTTTCCTGGGACCAGGACCGGACCAGGCTTCACCTAGTGCCTACGTAGGTGACTACCTGACGTAAGGCTCACTGAAGACCACCCAGATCAGGATCAGGTGAAGGGGTAGGGGAGGCTCGGAAATCCAGGCTGTGGGGATGTGAGAGGCATACAGACCCTCCTCGGGAGGCTGAGGCTTGGCTGTCATCTAGCTGGCCCTGCCCCTTGAGGCAATGTAATGCTTGCCACTGCCCTCCCGGTCACCTCCTGGGCCCCACCAGGCACACACATGGGTGGCGTTTCCAGAGGTGCTGTCTCCTCTTTCCTGTGTCTACTCCTGCAGCAGACAAATGCCCCGCCTTCCTCCAAGGGCTCCTGCTCCCTGCCTCCTGGCTCACCCCCAAAACTCCCTTCTTGGTGACACAGGACCCAGGACAGAGGGATGGAAACCCACTCTCGCTGGCTGCCTCTTGTCAGCAGCATCCCTGCAATCTCCCGGGCTTGTCCCACATGGATAATAAGAGTGGATTGTTCTAGGTCACCCTCTGCTTCTCCCAGGGAAATGTACGTACCATTTGTTCTTTGGTCATTATGCATATTATTAATAACATTAATTCATGATTTGGCACACGCATGCATTGGAGTGTTCAGACAAGCACTCGGACGTTGCTCATTCCTGGGCAGACCCACCCACCCACCAGCTATCAAGTTTGTGTATACCTGTACTTTGTCTTCATACGTGCAGACATGAGCTGCTGAGTTTGCTAGTGCCAGTGTTTGTCTGACTTCTTGACGTATGACGCGTTTGTGATTACCTGCGCTCCTGACTCCTCCCACCCGCTCTGTCTTGTACTCAGTGTCCCTGCGTCGTCTCGCATCTGCCTTCCAGTCTTCCTGAACAAGGAACACGGTCTTGTGTGCATGTGTTCACTGACGCATCATTCACTCTGTCAGTCTTCAGTGACGTAAGCAACTACACAAGTGCGTGTCCTCCTCATAAGCTGAAATGTTATGGCTACAGTGACAATACTCAGCCTGCTCTCTCTTTTCCTCCAGGTCCCTTACGTTAATCCAAGCACTGCTTCATGTGGATGCGGGCAAGAGATTGAATATGATGGAATTCTAGTGTGTGTACCACTGAGTAGTTCTTTTTTTGCTAGTCAAGTACTTCTGAGACATGGTCATGTGGGTACATGCGGTTGAGTTGTGTACATGTAGACAGAGTTGTGTACACGTGACTGAGTTTTGTACACATGGTTGACTTGTGTACATGTGGTTGAGTTGTGTACACATGGGCTGAGTTGTGTATACGTGGGCTGGGTTGTGTACACATGGTTGAGTTGTGTGCACGTGGCTTAGTTTTATACATGTGGGCTGAGTTGTGTACATGTGGTTGACTTGTGTACATGTGGCTGAGTTGTGTACACATGGGCTAAGTCATGTACATGTGGGTTGACTTTTGTACACATGGTTGAGTTGTGTACACATGGGCCAAGTTGTATACATGTGGGCTGAGTTTTACACATGTGGGCTGAGTTGTGTACATGTGGGCTGAGTTGTGTACATGTGGTTGACTTGTGTAAACATGGCTGAGTTGTGTACACATGGGTTGAGTTGTGTACATGTGGGTTGAGTTGTGTACCCATGGTTGAGCTGTACACACATGGGCCGAGTTGTATACACGTGGGCTGAAATGCTCCTGTGCTGAGTGCCCCGCTGGATAAGGTGACTATGCCCTCTTTCGCCATCTCTGTCCTGACACCACTCAGTGTCTCTGGCTTTTCATTTGTGGAGACGACACTGCGGGAAGCATCTTGCTCATCTGCTTGAACACATGTAAGCATTTTCCTAAACAGCAATTTTCAAACTGGGAATGGAAAGTGGGTCCAAAAACCCTCTAGACTACAGCCACGGTTGTGCAAAGGAGAAACAGAACAGAACAACTGCCCAAGGTCCCAACTCACGGAGGGTGGGCCTGGCATAGGCTCTGGAGAGTTTCGCTTCATTTCTACATGGACTGTGACGTGAGACACCTCCTGTGGGCCCAGGTCACGGCAGCCTGAAGAACTCCCGGGTGAGTGCTGAGCCCAGACCTGCCAGTCCTCAGACGCTGCATCCAAGCTCCACCTCCTGCCCTCCAAGGAGGGACCTCACGCACATCCCTCCATGCTCGGAGCACCCGTTGCTGCAAGGTGTGTCCTCAACCGTCGAGATCCTGCCCACTGTCATGGCCCAACTGTCAAGATCCTGCAAGGCGTGTCCTCAACTGTGAGACTCCTCCAAGCCTTATCCTGCCAACACACATGGTGACTTTATTTCCGCAGGGAAGCTCACATGTTTGACTGGCACATACGTGTGCCCACAGCAGTTGCACCTCCTCCCAGTCCCCGCTCACGGCACGCTGCCTGCTGGACTCCACCCAAGTCCTGCTCATGTCCATTCCATCCATCTTGCTTTTCCTTTTGCAGAGATCACCAGGGCCATGGGCCTAGGAACACCCCTCCCATGCCACATTCCCCAAGGACCCATGGCTCCCAGGCCCCGCTCCTTGGCCAGTCCTGCAGGCACCTCCCTGATGCTGCCTGGATGCCTGGTCCCCCCCACCATCCTCCCGACAGTGTCCTGGCACCTTCTCTCTCAGCCTCATCTGAGAGGCACTTCTGGGGCTGTGTCGGTTCCCTCCACACACATCTTAGGGATGGGTCTCCTTGGGGGGTGTCAATATGTGCTCTGCGGGTCCTGGGGGCCACCGAGCTGCCTCTGAGGACAAGCCTGAAGAGTGGGTGCCAGCTGCCCGGCTTCACAAAACTGCTCTGCCTCCCCTAAGTTGTGCCACAAGTTTCCAGAAAGTCCATGTGAAAAAGAGTGTTTTACCATAAGGGAAATTGGAGCTACCATGCTGCCCCCCGAGGACCTAGAAGTCTCTCCCCAGGAGACACCTGGGTTTCTTCACTGGGGATGGACAAGGGCCTGTGTCACATCTCAGGCTACCAGAATCTTGACCTCCTGGGTACAGGCTCTCCTCCCTCCTCAGCTTTCCCAGTAGCTGGGACTACAGGAGCACGCCACCATGCCTGGCCAATGTTTTGATTTTTTTTTTTTTGTACAGACAAGGTCTCGCTATGTTGCCTAGACTGGTCTCCAACTCTTGGACTCAAGCAACCCTCCCACCTTGGTTTCCGAAAATGTTGGGATTACAGGCATGAGCCACGGCACCTGAGGGTGTTCTTCAGGGGTTTCCTAAGACCAAAGCCAGAGTAAAGTCGGGAATATCCACGGGGCAGTGACAACTGTTATCCAGGACCTCTGGGCGTCCAGCTGTGCTGGGGCAGGTGCCTCAGGGAAAATGGCAGCCCAGTCCACAGTGGGGACGTGAGGATGCTTGTAGGATCCAGACACAAGAGGAGAAAAATGAAAAACACCAAAGCCGATGACCGGCAGGAAAACAGATTCGTGGATTCATGGCAGATGACCAGGAGGAAAACACTCTTGGATTTGTGGCAAATGACTGAGGAGAACAGACTGGTGGTTCGTGGTTGGTGACCTCAGGATCAGGTGGCCGTTGGGTGGACACACTAGGTACATGACTCCAGAAACCCAGCGGTGCTCCTGTGAAACCCCGTCCTGAAACAAGCCCCCGGGAAGCGGCTTCCCAGAAGGGGTTGAGCCTGGCCTTGGGCGTGCATTTGATGCCAGATAGTCTTCCAAGTCGGGCAAACGACAAAGTGGAAATGCACAAGTTCATCTGAGAAACAGGCTTTGCCCAGCCTTCGGCTCAGGGGGGAGTATCCATGCGCGACCCATTGGAGCAGGGCATTTCACGGGGGCCTGACGCCTTCCACTAGGGAGCAGACCATGGACCCCAGGGCGACCAGCTATCAAGGCCTGGATGGTGGGTCCTGCTGCCCCTCAAGGTGATCTGGGGACTTCACAGCAGGACTCCCTGGGGGCCATGTAGGCTCCCAGGCCTCCCAGGCCCATGGACAGCCTGAGCGTGGCCCATATGGGCAGCAGGATGTCTCCGAGCTCCCAAGACTCCTTGGGAAGGGCCAGTGATGCTCCATGTGGCCCAGGTGGGACTTAGCTGGGAGGACACAGAAGAGAAGACTTGCTGGCTGGCGGAGGCACACACCTGGCTAGATGGGCCACCCAAGGCCAGCCTCACACCAGAGTAGGACAGGTGGGGGAACAGAGCCACTGCGTATCCTCCCCCGCTGCGATGACAGCTGTCCTCATGCCATCCCAGCCCGCATGATTGGCAGCTATCTCCAGCTTCCCCGCCTGTGTCCCCGCAGGACACGCTGAGGTTCCAGTTCCCTTGTCTCCCATCAGTGCCCGTCGCTCCAGGGGACAGCCAGCTTGCTGTGGCTCAGGGGTTTGTCTTGTACATTTTATTTATTTTTCACATTGAAAATGTACACCAGAGTTGGCTTCTCCCGTTTCTTTATTCCCTTCCTTGCAAGAAGGGGTGGGGAGGGAGGGTGTGTGCTAGGGCAGAAGACGTGTTTCACAGTGCCGGGCTGTGCTGGCACCCTCTGGGAGTCCTTCTCCCAGGGCTAATGTGCAAGGTAAAGCTATGCAGACAGGAGCCCAGGGCGGGTCCGAGGTCCCCCTGAGCCTCAAATAAAGGGACAGCTGAGTCCCCTGCAGACCTGATTCTGTTCCAGAAAAAGCAGCTCCGGCCTGTAGGAGTGAGCCTCCCATCCCTTGAGCCAGCATCCACGTGCACCAGGCGGTCCCGTCCTGCTTTGACCTTGAGCCTCCCCTTCCTGACCGGCAGCTGCTCTCCTGCGGGGGTTGGGCTTTTCCCAGTGGACGGCGGGTGGGGAAGGGAACAGACCAACAAGACAAAAGCAAGATGGCAGCTCTGGGAATTCCACACGGGGCTGTGGAAGGCTGGCCCAGATGGGGGCTGCTTGGGCTCGCCTGGAGGGGCAGGGGCCTTGTGTGGGCCTGGGGTCCATGCCCTATGGTCCTCCTACAGCACTTGCTCACACTGTTCTCCCCCACAGACAAGGCCCATACCTGGCGTGGACAGGCTGGCGGGCGTGCTGGACTTCCTGCAACGGGAGGTAGGCCGGGCTCAGAGTCCCAGGATGGCGGGGCAGGTGGGGGCTCACCCCCGGGGGCCTCCACCAGGGAGGGATGACGAACTCCTGTGGAGGAGACCAAGGCCTGAGACCAAAGGAGACGCGGGAGGGACGGAGCTCACGCTGTAGCTGAGGATGCTTCTGAGATTCGCAGCCCCACCCGGCACCCACACCCCTGCTCTTCTGGGGTGATGTGGGAGCTTGAGGACCATGAGGCGTCCATGATGACCTTGTGACATCTGAGAACCGGGGCACGTGGCTCCTGCCTCCTCCGTGCTCCCTGCTCTCTGGGTGGCAGCTGTTCTTGGAGAGGGTCTGAGTGCTGTGACCACTGTGGCCTCACCCCCGTGGACGCTGTGGTGGGAGGCGCCCTGCCCACCACGAGGGGCGTGTCTCTGGGATGGTATCGCTGTGGGGCCGGGCTGCCTGGAGCCACCAGGCAGCCAAGGGGAGGCCTCGTGCCAGGGTTCCACGGAGCCCAGCAGCCGCAGGGATCCGGCCAGTGACCTTTCTCTCCCTGTGCTCTGCAGGTCCCCAGGGCCTTTGTGAACCTGGTGGACCTCTCCGAGGTGGCAGAAGGCTCCCGCTGGCATCAGGGTACTCAGCCCAGGTAACGGGACCAGCAGCTGCTGTGGGCCGGGCCTGTGCAGAGTCCCTCGCGTGCCTCATCCCAGGAGGGGATCCAGGGGTGGGGGCTGCCGGGGATGGCTCGGGGGGCTGAGCCGAAAGGTAAGATGTTGGGTCTGGCAGACACGGTGCTGCGGCCGATCCCCCCGGGGTAATGCAGGAGCTCGGCCTGGCACAGCAGCTCTGGAGCTGGGTGGTAAACGCGCCACCCAAAGGCAGAGGATCCTCGGAGCTGGGTGTCGTGCGTTTCTGACAATTGTCGTAGACTTTAAATTTGTCAGAGCCAAATCCTCAGAATTCTGGGTTTGAACCTGGAAGAGAAGGTCACGTGGAAAAAGTCAGAGCAAGGACAGCTGCAGAAGGAGGGAGGGAGGGAGGGAAGAAAGGGGAGAGGGGCTGAGGGAGAAAAGAGGAAGGAAAGAGGGAGAAGGAAGGAAGGAAGGAGGGAGGGAGGGAAGAAAAGAGGGGGAGGAAGGAAGGAAAGAAGGAGGGGGGAGAAGAAGGGAGGGAATGAAAAAGGAAGGCAGGCAGGAAGGGAGGAAGGGAGGAAGGGAGGAGGGAAGGAGGGAGGGAAGGAAAGATGGGGGGAAGGAGATCATGAGGGGGATGGGGGGCTCGGCAGAGGAGGGCCAAATGGTGCGGACAGAGCAGGAGGAAGGGGCAGCATGGAGGGGGAGGAGTACAGGGAGATGGCGGAAGGGGAAGACCCCCACATCCCAGCCCCGCCCGCTTTTCTCCCAACACCTGCTCCCCCATCTTGCGCCTGCCAAGGCTCCTCTCTCCTGCCCCCTCCCTGAGCGACCCCACCCCGCCCGCCTCCAGCCTCACGCCTGCCTGCTCTGACCTGCAGCCCCGCACTGGAGCCCTGCAGCTGCTCGGGGGACACCTCCAGGCTGGCCAGGGTGGTGATGCAGTGGTCCTACCAGGTGAGCCTCCGCTGGAAGCTCAGGCTGCCAGCTCACGGGGTGGTGGTTGTGGAGGGTGGGGGCAGGGTCGATCAGCAGAGTCTGCACACGCTGGACTTCCCAGCTGAGTCAAGGACTTGGTCAAGCTGTGGGGTTCACTTCCCGTGGGTGATAGGAATTCCTGCCTGTGACCCGGTGACCGTGGTACCGTGGGACAGGGCAGGGGTTGGGTGCCCCAGGCAAAAGATACTGAGCCAGTTGGCAGATGGCACCTGGTCATACGGCCCATGGGGCACACAGCCAGGGCCCTGCCTGTCCCAGACTGCAGCCCCGGCAGCCAGGACTCTGGTGGCCCCAGGAGGGCAAGTGGTCATGAGCCGCTGGCCGTCACACCACCGAAGCCCATTCCCGCGAGCTCGCGGGCACCTTGACTCAAGCCACAGGTGGTGTTCAGAGTTGGGCGGCGCTTGGCCCGCTCTGGAGATGATGGTGTTTCTTGCATCGTTCATGGCCTCTACAGGTGTGGCCTGACGGCGGTGTGCTGGGTGGGCTGGCAGCTCTTGATCCCCGGAACAGAGTCCCGGTTGGAGGGGCTTCACCTGCTGTGTTTGGGTGGCCGATGCAAATGGCTCAGCCCATTCAGGGCCCTGAGTGTGGGCCAGACATGGCCTCACCGTGGCCGGGGCAGGGCAGTGGGCGCTTCTGGCCAGTGCCTTGATGCCCTACTGGGTCTGGGAGCCCCATGGGAGGCCCACCAGCCTCTGCTTCTCTGTGCCCTTCAGCTTCTCTGTGCCCTCTGCAGGAAGCCTGGGAGCGCCTCCTGGCTGCCAGCACCCACAACGCCCAGGAGGCCTTCGCTGTGGTCTTCCAGCCTTTCTTCTACGAGTCCTCCCCGTCACCAGCCTCGGTGAGTGAGGCGCTCGGGGTGGCAGGGCGCGGGAGGCGGGCAGGGGGAGGCCTGACCCCGTGTCTGCCCCCGGCCCCTCCCACTTGCACCCTGCAGAAGCCCCAGCTCAGCTCAGCTTTGCTGAACCCTGGATAGGCGGTCTTAGGGGACATGCCCCTGTCTTTTATTTTTATTTTTAAAGAGAGTCTCACTGTGTCGCTGGAGTGCAGTGGTGTGCTCGTAGCTCACTGCAGCCTCGACTTCCTGGGCTCAAGTGATCCTCCTGCCTCTCTCTCCTGATTAGTTGGGGTTGCAGGCACGCACCACTATGCCTGGCTAACTTTGAGCTTTTTTGTAGATATGGGGTCTTGCTCTGTTGCCCAGGCTAGTCTCAAATTCCTAGGTACAAGTAATCCTCCGCCCTAGAACTCCCAAGATGTTGGCTTATAGGTGGTGTCACCGTGCCCTGCCTCTCTTATCTTTTCTTATACAGATTCCCACATGGCCCCACCAGGCAGGTCTTAGAGGGAGGGCAGTCCTGAGGTAAAGGTCGTGGACTCCAGCAGCTCTGGGATGGGCTGGCTGTGTGGCCTTGGGCAAGCTGTTGAGCTCTCTGTGTCCTGGCTCCTCACTGTAAAACTGGGCCTGTGAGGGTCACTCTGTCCCTCTTGGTGGCTGCCAGCAGGCCTGAGTTGAGAAAGCACATGAGCCAGCACATGGGGGACCCAGGGAGGCGGCTGCCTAGGAGGCGCCAGGCACCTCGTAGCTTTGTGACCATTCAGGGTGGTTTCCAGGGCACCAGACTCACTCCTCTTCTGCAGATCTCTCCATGTTCACCCTGGAGGCGAGAGTAGTTGGGGCCACCCCCTCCTCCGTCCCTGGGTAAGGGCCACCTGGATTAGGCAGCACTATGTGGGCCACCAGCGCCCACAATAGTGGGTGGACACGTGCTGGCCATGGCCTCTCTGGCCTCTGAGACCAGAGCTATGTCTGGGAACAGCCCCCTCCAGGCTCCTGGCTCCCACTGCTGGAATCCTCGTGCCCCCCCCAGGCCTTTGACCATGTTTAAAGCCAGGGTCTAAAGAGGGAGGGGCATGAGCTCCCCATCCTCCCCTCAGCCCCCATCCCTCCTCCTGCTGTGTGGCTCTGTTACAGAGAAGTCCACAGTGACCAGTCCATGGGGAGCCCCATCTGTCTGGCAGTCATGGCCGCCAGACAGCAGCCCTACAGATGTTCCCAGTGGGAGGTTTCGGGAAGGCACCTGGACGGGTCAGGGCCTCCCCGCACCACACCGGGGAAGGCCTCAGAGTGTGGGGCTGTCGGATCTGGGGAGACCAAGGTTTTTCTCTTCCAGGGGGAGCCCCTGCTCTGGGATCCCTCCATGCTGGCCTGGAGCCTCTGGAACAGGATGGTGAGTGGGCAGGGCCAGGGAGGAGCTGCAGAGGAGTGCCGGGCTCTCCACCTCGCCCGCTGCCCACGCTCTGTGGGGGCTGCAGGGTGCCCCCAGACCCAGGACCACCAGGGATGCTCCCCACACCGGCAGTGGCCCAGTTCTGATCACCCAGGCGATTGAGGTCCTTGTCCCCAGGCTGGGCCACTTGTCAGAGCCTGCGGCAGGCCCCTTGAGCGAGGCCCAGGGGAGTGGGCCCCTCTTCCCCATTCAGCATTTCCCCGACTCAGGTGGCCCCATGCAGGGTCAAAGGCCCGGGGTGATGTCCAGGGGGAGTCATAAAGACCTGGGTTCAGCCCCACCTCTCACAAGCATGTGAGCTTGGGTCTCAAGCCCCTCCACAAAGCCCAGTCACAGACCAGGCCATGTGTCGGGGCCACTTGCTCCTGGCCCTCATGGGTGGTCAGTATGGACTGGCCCCTTTTGCTGTGATGGTGACAGGCTTCCCCCAGATCCCAGGGCCCCGGGGCCTCTGGGATGAGTCAGGGATGGATGGTGACGTCAAGGTTTTTAGCCACCGCGGCACCCGGCAGACCTGACTGTGCCATTGATTTTCTCCCATTTAAGCCGCCCTATTTTTAGAATTCCAGTGACAGAAACGCGCATTTCCTTTTCCCGGGAGCCGTCGCCTCCGCTGACGTGCTGTGTCGATGCCTTGGGCAGCTGTGCCTCAGATTCGTCAGCCAGTGCAGGGCAGAGCAGGGCGGGAAGGGGGACAGCCCTGGCATCCTGTCGGTGGAAATGCTCTTCTTTGAAGAGGGCGTCTGATGACTTTGAGCAGGGATGCTTGTTAGTGGGGCTGACCCTAGGGCGATGTCTCCCCAGACGTCCACTGTATTGCTGACCTCTGGTGAGGGGCTGAGCAAAGGACCTGACCCCTCCCACAGGGCTGCCCCCCAGTCTCTTGGGATGGAAGGCGGGTTCTTCCAGCTCAGCAACACCATTCCCCTCCTCTGCCTCGTCTCCCTTCTCCCAGCCAACAGAAGACACCACGTGGTCTGCCCTGTGCGAGGGCTAAGGAGGGAATCAGGGACACCAAGCCTGGCCTCTGTCCTCACAGAGCTCCGGGTGTAGCTGGGAGGGGCTGGACAGCACGAGGAGTGAGAGTGAATGGGGGGACTAGGCCGTCAGTGATGGGCCCGGTTGTGTGCGGAGGCAGCATGGCAAGGAGGCTGGGTGGCCAAGGATGGGACTTGAACTGGCCTTGAGGGGTGTGCTAGGCAGTCAGGGAGGGCTGCTCTCCCTGGAGTAGGGGACTCCCGTGCACCAGTGAGGCTGTCCCTGGAGCCTGGGGATGCTCCTTCTGAGAGCAGCCCTGTGTGTCCTGGTAGGAACGCTCCTTCCTAGGAGTGGCTGCTGTCAGGATGAAACTGAAGGTGCTGGGCCCAGACCTTGCAGCTGAGCGACTGTTCTTCCCAAGTGAAGCTGGCTGTGCTTCCTTACCTGAACCTCATGGGGTAGGAGCAGCCCGAGAGGGTCTGGCTCCTCCCCGGCTCCCTGCTCCCTGGGGCACAAGGGCTGGTAGGACGTGGCGTACTACTGTGAGCGCCTCACGGACAGTGGCACAGCCAGCGACTGGGCCAGGCCAGCACCCCACCTCCTGTTCCCTGCTCAGAGTCGCCGGCTGAGGGGAGGGGCCCAAGGGGCCACTGGAGACTGACATCTGTGGGTGGCCAGGACAGCAGCAAAGTAGCAGGTTCCCAGACAGTAGGAAATGGCATGTGCTGGAAAAACCGGGCGCTCTCCAAACCGCTGCCTCTTTCTTCTTTGGTGTTTGTATATGTTTAATGAACATTTTAAATCAGCAAGAAGAATTTAAAAGCAATCCCTCCCTTGCCTGGTCCGCCAGCAGCCTTCCCTTCCGATCTTCAATGTTTTGGCCAAAACGAGTAGTTGCCACCACACCATGGACGTCTTACCTCTGTGGTTAGATGGCCTCCGTGGCTGCTACGTGAGCAGCCACCCATTTCAAAGCTGATACTGTGCCACCTGTTCCCAACTCACTAGGTGCTCTAGTTTGTCAGAGTGGGGCTATGCTGTGTCCACGACCTGTGTCTCTGTGTTCTGCTAAAATCACGGGGCTTGACCCAGGCTCAAGACCTGCTTCCCCAGTGCTGTGAATGCAGCTCTCAGGGACTGGGGGTGGAGGGGAGTTTCCTCCCAGTGTGTGTGAATGGATGTGCATGGATGGACACATGTGGATTGATGTCCACGTGGATGGATGGCCACATGGATGGATGTCCGTGTGGATGAATGTACATGTGGATTGATGTGCACGTGGATGGATGTGCATGTGGATGGATGTCCATGTGGGTGGGCATGCACAGTTTGTTGTGTGTGTATGGATGCCCACGTGGGCTGTGGACACAGGACGCAGGAAGGACTGGGGAAGGTACTCCATTTTACACAGAAGGCATGGCTTTTCCCTTCCCCACACACCACCCTTCTCTAAGGCAATTTGAATCAGGGAGCCACACAGAGCTGGGCAGCAGGCAGGGACCAGAAGCTGGGAACTGACCTGTGGACGACCGGGAGGCTGGGTGGCCCACTGAGAGACGTTGGCTGGGGTCCAGGACACCGATGTTGTCGCCCAACTCTGCCCCGGCTGATGGGCCCACCTCAGCCCCCCTGGTGTTCAGTTTCTCCTTCTGTGATATCAGGAGGGGGGACCAGCAAGTCCTTTCCGCATCAAAACCCTGACGATCCCTGCATGCACTTGTTCCCACGCTCTGGTGGGTGTCAGAATCATCTAGGTGGTGGCACCCACCCCCAGAGCTTCTGGCTCAAGGGTTAGGGGTGGGGACCGGAGTTGGCATCCTGAATATGTCTGGGTGCTGCTGCCGGCCTGGAGGTCAAGCTCTGAGGAGCACTGGTCTCCCAATCCTCCTTGATGTGCCTCAGAGGGCTGCTGCCCACACAGGGCTCCCTGTTTAGAGATGACTTTCTTTCCAGATGGAGCCCGCAGGACAGAAAGAACCCTTCAGTGCAGAGAAGGGGAGGCCAGTGAAGTGTCCCTCTCAGGTAGGCGGACCAGGCCGGGAGGGAGTCTCTTGCTGGATTGAGGAACCAAGGAGGCAGCCCAGTGGGCAGTGTGTTGCAGTGGGGCCTTCTTGGGCCCTGACCCTGGAAGGGTGGCTGTGTGCCCTGGTCTGCACCCATTTTGCATATGGGGCTTTAGTGAGGTTCCCCAGGGGTGCTGCTTTGGCAGAACTGAGACCCTTCCAGTCCTGTGGCCCCAAGGCCACCCCTTCCCCCTCCCCTGGACCTTCTTCTACTTGGGATGCTAAGGGGCAGGTGATAGGTGCTAAGTGGTCTTGAAGGTGGATCACTTCAGTTGCATCTTAAATATGTGCCTGGTATTCAGTAGGTGTGTCATTAATATTGCCACATCAGTGGGTGAGAAAATAGGTGCACATGAGCAAATGGGGGTCCTCCCGCTACACAAGCCAGTCGCCTGTCTGGCTACCTGGCAAATCGGTGAGCTTCCTGTTGCTAGGCGAGTGTATGCAATTCACCCTGTCTCCCTTTTTGATTTGGCTGCCAAGAAGCTTAAGATGAGGCTCTCTCCTTGTGGAAATACCTGTGCTCAGCCTGGCACAACCATCCAGGGCTGAGGCAGGAGAGGCTGGGGTCACAAAGGGAGCTTAGAAGCCCGGGCGAGCTTCTCTGGGGCCTCGTGGGAACAGGGGGGAGAGCCAGGTCTTCCCCGAGAGGGCCAAGTGACTCTCCTCCATCAGCCACATGACTGACCATTCGAAGAGGGCCACGTGACTATCCTGAGTTTGCCACGTGATTGTCCCAAGTCAGCCACGTGACTGTCTCAAGAGGGCCATGTGACTCTCCATCAGCCACAGGCTGGTTGGCTGCCAAGGTGATCAAGCAGGGACATGGGTTTCTGGGTGAGGGTTCTGATACATGACCTTTCCCTGCAGGAGAGCCCCTACCTCTTCACCTACCGGAACAGCAACTACCTGCCCAGACAGCCAGGGCCCCACGGGAAGCCCGAGGTGAGGAGAGTCCTGAGACTGACAGATATGCAGATGATAAGCCTGTCCAGCTTCAGGAACCTTCCGTGCATCTCTATGTTCTGAGCTCCATCTGCCTCCGGGCACAGACATCTGAAGCTCAGTCGGGGCAGGATGGGGAGAGGAGGGGTCAGGCATGTGGCCATCCTGGGTGCCTGGGAGCAGGTCTTGCCATGGTGGGTCGTTGGACCTGGCTGTGGTTTCAGGGTGTTGGGGCACTCAGCACCTCCTGTGCCCAACCTGTGGTGATGCCAGACCCTTCTCAGATCTCTGACAGGTCCTTCTGAATGCACATGAGCCCTTAATCTGAAGACAATGTTAACAAGAGGCAGAGAAATGTGGTGAAGCAGGAACCCGGGCAGTGTGGGAGCCAGAAGGCCTTTGTGGCTGGGCCACACCTCGAGTGGGCACCTCCTGCTGCACACAACTGGCCCACTGCATGTCAGGAGTCTCCTTCTGATACCTCCTTGGAGATAAGAAAGGCACCCGCTTCCCTGAGGAGCCAAGACTCACCTGACACCTGGTGGCTTCCTTCTCAGAGAACTAGGGCCAGGCTGGTCCCTGTGACATCTTGCCTCCCTGTCTCCTGAAGTGAGGGAGATGCACTCAGGTGGTAGAGGCCAAGTCAATGGCTTGGCTCCACCCCAAGAGACCCACGTGGCCTGCACTTTCTAACAGCTTTATAGCAATGAGGGCACGTCCAAGAGGCAGGAAGACTGAGGGAGGGAGGACAACTGCTCTGGTTTCACCTCCAGGCTTCCGCTTGCTGGCTCTGTGTCTGTGAGCGAGGCACTTGACCGCTCTGTGCCTGGATGTTTTAATCTGGAAAAGTGACAGTAGCAGTCAGACCTGGTGGAGTTATTACATTGTAATCAGTTCGCAAGCATAAAGCGTGTATGATAGTATCTGGCCTATCACGAGTTCCACGTAAGTGTTGCGGTTGTTATCATTTGGTGAGAGGCAGTGACACATTCCTTCAGGACACATTTATTGAAGGCCTGCTGTGTACCACTGGAACGCAGGCTCAGGGACTTGGGGGAGGTGCCCAGTGACCATCTGTTGAATGAATAAGTGGATGGATAGATGGTTGGACAGATACCAGGCATAAGTGAGGAAAACAGAAGTAAAACCCAGGCTTGTTCCACAGGACTTAGTCTGTAGGGAAGCAGGCAAGCCACGGGCTGTCACAGCACAGTGTAAGAAGTACTGACTAAAGCTTTCACAGGCATTCTGGAAACACAGAAGAAGGGAAACTGAGGCAGGCAGGAGAGGTGGAAGGCTTTCCAAAGGGTCCTGTGACCTCAGCCTGGGACGGTGGGCTGCAACCGGGTGGGTGAGCCGGGAAGGAAGAGGTAGACTGGTGGCTTGGGCAAGACCTGGTTGCAGGGGAGGCCAGGGGCTGGAGGCTTGGATTGTTTGGAGGCCTCATGCATGCAGTTCTGGTCCAGCCCACAAATGTCTGCTGAGCTCCCAGTCTGCCAAGGGCTGCTTGGGGCTCGAGGGGCCCAGTCACAAACCACACACAATCCCTGTCCTCCGTGGGATCAGGGCAGCGTGCGGCATGTCAGAGCCTGCTGGGAAAAGCCAGTGTGGACAGATTCAGAAGGCAGAGAGCCTGGGACCAGCAGCAGGGATGCCGGTGAGCACCGCCTGTTCCCGGCAAGCAGTCACAGGAGCCTGACTCCGGCGGGGGCAGGGGCGCCAGCGGTGGGGAGGGACAGATCCAGGTGCACCTGGAAGGAATGAGAAGGACCAGTGGGTACGAGAGTCGAGGGAGAAGGAGACACCTTAGAAGAAGATACCAGGTTTTCATTGTATCTCAAGTGGCTTTTCCAAAACAGAGGCCTGCCTCCCACCTGATTTCGACTTAGCAAGATCCCATTTCTCTGTGTGTCTCATTTCAGGTGAGAGAAGGAACAGAAATCAGATGTCCTGACCAGGACCCCTCCGACACGACCCCCACCTCAGGTACGCAGCTTGGGCAGGTGACATGTAAACCCACTTGGGCCTGAAATCCGCTGGGTCGGAGCAACCCGAAATGCTCACTCGGCTTCTCGGGGACAGCGGCCCTGTGTGTGTGTGTGTGTTTGTACGACCATGCCTGTGTTTGATCATTCTTTAACTAGATCTGATAGCATCACCATCAGAAAGCAGTTCACATAATCCCGTGCCAGGCCGTGGTCTGCAGAGAGCCCTGTGTGAGCCCAGGGAGTTGTCCTTGTCCCTGCCTGGGAGCTCTGATGGGTGAATTTGTTCTCCTAAAGAGCAAAACTGCCCTTAAACAGATGGAGAAACAGTCAGTCCACAGTCCTTGTCTGGTGCCCTCAGGGAATGCGCTCAGATACCACGCAGGACGGAGGTACAGCGTCTCGTCAATGTGCCCTCTCCACTGCCCCTCAGTAGTCTAAAGTGTCAGTTGCTGCGCCAGAAAGACAGGACTCATGAAACGTTCTGGGCAGTCATCACAACCTTCCCAAAGACAGTCTACCCCGGGCCACACGTTTTCCCCCAGGCAAGGCCGCCTGGGCGTGATGGCTGCATGCACACGCCTTGGGAATCACGGGGGCCGTGTAGTGACTGAGGGTCCCCCGCTTGGGCCTGGAGGGCGACCCGCTTGTCCACTCACTGGTCCTCCTCTTCCTTCGCATTCTGGGGATGGCCAAGTGCCTCCTTGCACCTTCCGGGAGTTTCTGTCCTGGTTGATCTGCTGCTGCCCGGCTCAGCGCCAGGCAGAGACAGTTAATGTGGAGATGTCACCACCCAGTAGGGCTCTCCCGGGGATGATGTGTTTGAGGTCAGATGGTCCCCTTGTGCCGAGCGATCTCCGAGCGACATTTGCACACCGCAGCCTGGCCTGCCCTTAGCAGCTCCAATGCACGTAGAGCTGAGCACGGCAGGTCGGGTGAAGCCTTCCCACTTGAGCCTCGGCTGCTCGCCCTTGACACACAGAGACTCTTTCTTCCTTGGTGACAACTCACCCCTCCTGATAAGTTTACTAGCGAGACTCTATCAGCAGAATGCATGATCATTTCACGGGGAGAGCCTGTGGTCATGAAAACCCAGAGATACATAGATGGGGGGCTCAACGCAGATAGGCGGATGGCGTGTGTAGACACAGGTATGCGTGTGTAGACCTGCACAGAGGAGCACTGTCGAGGACTGCAATAGCCATCCAAGTGCTGTGCAACCCCCTTCAATCTCATCACCCCAAAGGAGTGGTCTACAAAGCATTTATAATCTTCCTGGATTTCGCTTCTGGCAAGACCCCTCTGAGCGTATCGCAACATCTCAAAGCCAGATAAAGTGCTGACCTCTCCTTTACTGCCTAACCCTGAAGATGACCGTGTTTATCAGCGCTTGAGGATTTATAGACGAGGAATCTTAGGACCTTAAGCTCTGAGACGCTCGGGTGATGGATGCCGTTCATGTAAGCAGATGGGTAGATCCAGGTTCTGCTCTGACCCAGGTGGCTGTGGGACCCCCAGAAGCCCTCCTCCTGGGGCAGCCTGCGGAGTGCTGGGCCTGCCCTGCTGGGGCCCACCCACAAAGTCGTTCAGGAAAATGGTCAGAGCTAACTGACCCGCAATGAAAACCACACTTTATCCTTGTGCCTTAATCTTGAAAGAACATTCTAGGCAGGCTGGTGACTGATGGGTAAGCAAGAAAACCCAGTGCGGGGCCACACTGTTATTTTCCTTTGATGATTATCACGCATCTGGCGAGGTCATCACTCCTCTGGAGATGGTTTGTGTCTGATACAGGTCTTGTGGGCGGGTCATCTTATCTTTATGCCTCCAATGACTCAGCACAGGGTGGGAGCCAGATGCATGTTGGTTGAACTCATCTGGATACTGAATATTTCTAATTCATTACATCAACAGACCTCAGGATTGAGAAAGATCTTGGAAATCAACCTGATCACAGTGCACAGTGCCTTCCTTCCATTAAAACAATTCTTTCCTACGACTAACTTATAAAACAACTTTTGCGTTCAGAGTTCTTTTTAGAAACCTTTGTAGTCTCCATTTAGAGTGTTCTCCACACCGACCCGCAGACACCCGGATCCAAACATCACCCAAAGCGGTGTTTCCGTGTGGGACTCGGCCCGGCCTCTGCAGCTGGCACCTTGTTCCTGTCCCTCGGAACTAGGGCGATGAGCCTCAGCCCCTGATCCATGGGGTCCTGGGGAGAGATGTAGTACAGACAGAAGGGACTCGGATAACCAGCTGGCGCTTGGCAGCCAACACTAACCGGAAACCCGCCAGCTCTTCCTCCGGTCGCTGCACACGCGCCTCACAGTGGCCGATGCGCAGCCCCACGACATCGTAAGCATGCATGCCGCTTACGTGGCCCGATGGCTGGCTGCCTAACCTAGTTGCCACAGCTGAGAAAAGTCTTGGGCCTACTGGCTGGCTTGCAGCTTTCCCAGCGAGAAAAGGTGATACTTTTTGCAAATTAAAGAGTGGAGTGAGGAGTCTGAGGGGACAGGGCTCGTGGGCTTTCTGCTGAAGGTGGCCACCTGGAGTCAGGCTGCTAATTCCACGCAGAGGGAGAAATGCACAGTTTTGAGAGCAGGGGTCCTCGAGGCTAATTACATGCTACTGTCACCATGGTGGACAGAAGGGGTCATTTGCTTACTTGAAGCCACGAGTTCCTGTCTAAGCCCCTGATGGCATTCATTTGACCTGCTTGGCTAAAAGGAGCTCTTCGAAAGTCATTATAGAAACACTCAGGTCATAGAACCAGGCAGCTATGCATCCAGGGTTTCACTTGGTGGTGAGCGGGGCGGGGCTCAGGGGTGCCACCTGCTCTGGGGTCTCGTGACTCGGCCTACCCTGCCATCAGGGAGGAATGAGAGCCTGCAGGGAATAACAGCCTGCTTGTCCCTAGTGCAAACCTTCTGAGCGGGTTCAGACTCCCCCTCAGCCATGAACTTCAGCTAGCCCAGGTCTCGAGCCCTTCCTCTGTGCACGGCACACGTTCATCTACACAGACTCACACCCCAAGGAAAAGACAAGGCTCCCATCTTGCATCCTTGGGGAGCCTTCCCATAAACCCCTAAAATCAGAGAGTGAGCAGCATGAACTGACAATGGAGAGAAAGTAGGTTTTTCAGCTGGTGGCCCCGGGTGCCAGGTGGCTTAAGTTGTTGGGTTACACAAGGCAGAACACCGCATGCCAAGGCTTTCTCCTGAGTATGACTTTGTCATCGGAGCTCGGATGGCCTCCTGATAAGAGGCCCCTTTGTAGAAATCTTGATGAGCTAATGATGTGTTTATCAACTGCTTTCAAGGCGGTGGACAGTATGTACTAGATAATGTTGAGCTAATCAGCCCACACAGAGTTAATCTTATCTCTAAATAGTTCTTTATCCAAGAAAAGCAATTTCTAAAGTGCTTGGCTGTAGTTCTAGGCTGTGTCTTTGTCACAGATGACGACATTAACAAACCTCAAATCAAGGTCTACAGGATATTAAACCAATGAAATGTCCTGGGCTGTGGCTCAACAGTCAAATCCCAGATAAGCCAACTCCTCCCCTGGGCTTGCTTCATTCGGTTTTCTCTTGTTGAAAACCCCCAGAATGACCAGGTGAAGCACCACTGCCCCCAAAATCAATCAATCTGTCATCTATCTATTATCTGTCAATCATCTACCAACCATCTATCATCTATCAATCATTCATCTGTCGACTATCAATCATCTACCTATCATCTACCTGTCATCTATCAATCATCTACCTATCATCTCTCAGCCACCCAGCTATCATCAATCTATCCTCTATCTGCACTTAATACACATACTGAGATGCAGGTGTGCCTGTGTCTTTTGTCTGCTACAAATTCAGGAGGCAGGAATGGTCCATTTCAGAAACCTGCCTCTTTAGCAGACGGTAATAGTTTTTGAAGTAGATCTACCCTCTCTCCCACATTTGCCAGCCCAAAGATTTCCCATCACCTCTGCACGCTGGCTGTGCTCACAGAATTCTCTGTGTGCTGTGCACATAGTAGCAAGAGTGTGGGGACTGACTCTCGTCACCAGGAGCCAAAATCAGCCACGCGAGAGCGGAAGGGGGGCTTGCTTTCTGTGTGTCACCTTTTTCCCCCGTGACCTGATTTCCCGCAGAAGAGGGCATTTGGGAGTGCTGCTCAGCCTCATGGGTGTGTGCTGATGTGTGCAGCTGACTCCGTGATTCGATGCTGTTCTTCAAGCCACCCAGAGCTATGGACAGCTGGCAGGGCCGGGCAGGCTGTGATCAGGAGGAAGGGGTGTGTGTGTGTGCGCGCATGCCTGTGTGTATGTGTGCAGCCACGAGTGTGTGCATCAGGCATGGCTGGGATAGGAGGAAGACCCCTGAAGAAAGGCACTCGACTCTTGACTCTAAGAGGCTTTATGACGGCTGCGGCATCGTGGGAGCCTAGACACTGCTGACATGTACACATGGGAGGAATGACCCTGGCCGTTTGCTACAAGGATAGCAGCAGAGCTGGCAGCAGCTTCACGGATAAAACAGCATCTCTGTGGTTATCAGCACGTGGTCCCCAGGCCAGACCGGGGCAGCACCAGCACTCGAGAGCTTGGGACGTGCAGGTCCTTGGGCCCACCCAGACCTGCCAAATCGAAACTCCTGAGGGGCCCAGCCGCCACGTGCCGATGAGCTCCAGATGACGTTACCACTCACCCCTGTCTGAGGGCCACTTGGCCATGTATTCCACACACGTGCTCATGACCAAGTGTGTGTCACTTGCACCCTCTCACGGAAGAGGCGGGACTCTTGCTTTTCTGGTGAGAGCAAGTCCTCCAGGGACGGCATGGTGCAGGCAGCATGGAAGTGGACAGAGAGGTGCCTCCCTGGAGGAGACGAGCCCCAGAGGTTCCCTTGGAGAGTCCTGCCGACCATCCTGTTACCGCGGCCTCCCACACAGGCGTCCTTCCACAGCTGTGGCCTGGATGTCACTGGGCCGTGGTTTTAGGGAGTGCAACTGTGTCAAAAGCCCCTTGTCCTCTCGTAGTGCTGCAGGGTTGACAGCCTGGCTTGGCCTGTTGAGAAGGTCTCCACCCTGAGCAACAGCCTGCGGACGTGACGGGCTTCCTCCCGGGGGGTGAGGGGGGATACGACAGGCTTCCTTGTCTGGCACACACTTCTGAGGCTTCTCCCCAGGCACGATTTGACTTTACCAGCTTAGTGCGGCCTGGCACCGCTAGAGACAGCTGGAGTGCGTCGGAGGACAAAGGTGGCGCTGGAGTGCAGTCAGGGTGACCATAGGTGCAAGGTCCATGGAGTGAGGACTCCTAGAATGCGCTTGGACTCATGCTCACTGCGTGTCAGGCAAAGGGGCAGGGAGACACAGCGCGGTGCATGTGTGTGACTACGTGTACAGGCCTCTCCCAACCTGTGGCTGACATGAAAACCCTTGGCCGGGCCCCCCTTCCAGCCTTCTCTCCTACTGGTCTCCAGTTCCCAGGACCTTCCCTAAGCTGGACGCTCACCCAGCTGTGCCTGTGGACGGCCCTCCGTCCCCGACCTCCTCTCCATCACCCTCATCCCACCACACCCTGAGGCCTGACTCTAAGGTCGCGCTCCCCGTGACTCCTGCTCCACCCCAGTCCCCTTCCCGGAAGGTCATCCGCTCCACTCCAGAACTCCATGTCACTCTGCACCTCTCTCGTGGTTTATCAGTCTACACATCCTGATAACTACAGGGTTTCACTTTCTCCTTGGCCTTTGGGATTTTTCTTTAACTGGAGTCTCACTCTGCCGCCCAGTCTGGAGTGCAGGGACACGCGCACAGCCACTGCAGCCTCGACCTGCTGGACTCAGGCTATCCTTCCACCTGTCTTCCAAGTAGCTGGAACTACAGGTACACACCACCACACCCGGCTAGTTTTTTGATTTACTGTAGTGACGAAGTTTTACCAAGTTGCCCAGGCTGATCTCAAACCCCTTGGCTCAGGCAATCCTCTCACCTCCACCTTCCAAAGTGCTGGGATGACAGGCATGAGCCAGTGTACCCTGCGACCTTCCAGAAGGTGAAGGTGTTCTTCATTTCTCATCATTGTGTGGCCTCCGAGCCCCAACCAGTGCTTGGGGTTCCATGTGTCATCCTAAGAGTTAGTAGTTGGGGTTCTGTGTGTCATCCTGAGAGCTAGTGCTTGGGGTTGTGCGTGTCATCCTGACAGCGGCTGGGATTCTATGTGTTGTCTTAAGAGTTAGCGGTTGGGGTTTTGTGTGTCGTCCTGAGAGTTAGTGCTTGGGGTTCCGTGTGTCGTCCTGAGAGCTAGCGATTGTAGTTCCATGTGTCACCTGTGTGTTGATGACTGCCAGGGGCGCAGGAAGGGACAATGGCAAGTGGCCGCCTCATGGGTCCCAGGTCTCCTTTTGGGTGATAAAGATGTTTGGAACTAGGTAGCGGTGGCTTGCACAGCTAATTTAGTACACAATGTCACCAGCCTGTTCACTTTAAAAAGGGTTTAATTTTACGTCATGTGAATTTCACCTCCATTTGAAAACTAATTCGTGAAGCACTTTCCTTTCACTTTAGAGAGAGTGAGCTGATTTTGTGGGATGATGTCATATTTTATCCCAAACATCATCAGGCCCCAGAACAGACGAAGCATTGGTCCTGCTGTGTCGCGGGCCTGTGGTGAGGGGCTCTTCTGTGGCTCATCCAGGGGTGCGCTGCTGTTGAACGCCGACATTCGCTTGCGCTCTGGGAACCGAGCATCCGCTCCAGAGGGGCTGGCCAGCGCGGTCTCGGAGCCCTCCTTCACTCACCCTTGCTCGCGTTCTCAGTTCACAGGCTGAAGCCGGCTGACATCAACGTGATCGGAGCCCTGGGCGACTCACTCACCGTAAGTGACCCCGACTGTAGCAGGTAGGAGATGTGGAGGTGTGGGGGAGCCAGGGAGGGGTGGAGAGGGGTCTTGCTCCGGCTCCAGCATGGCCGGCTTGGTCCTGATCTCTAGTTCCTCTCCGGCCTACGCCCCTCATGCCTTCCCACCTCCGTTCTGGTCTCATTCCCCCACCCAGTGCTGCATGTCATCCTAAGAGTTAGTGCTTGGGGCTCCATGTGTCATCCTGAGAGTTAGCGGTTGGGGTTCCGTGTGTCATCTGCGTGTTGAAGAAAGAGACCACAGGAGGTGGTGGACCCCAGAGGGAGCACGGGGGACAGAAGTGACCCCGCCCGTGGTGCAGGCTGTCAGTATGGAGCAGGATTGGACTGGGCCTCCCACCAGGGTGTAGTGCTCATTCCAGGCCCCATGCTTGTTTCTGTCCGTGCAGGAAGCTCAGGGACTATGCCAAGGGGAGGCCAGGCGGTGAGAAGAGGTGCCCACAGGGGCAGGGCGGGGCAGGGTGGGTGAGGAGGCAAGCTCACGGAGAGGCAAAGGTGTCAAAGTGACTCCCCCTGCCTCTGCAGCTGCCCCATGAGGACCCCCGGGCCCCCCAAGGAGCTATCCATGAAACACAGAACCAGGCCCAGTGAGAGCCTGGGGCGGGGGTCTAAGGTCCCCAGGCACAAGCATCCATTCAACAGTCACTTGTCAGAGTTCAGCGGCCCCTTGGGTGGCTCTGCTCGGAAACAGACACACACCATGACCTCCTTGGCTGAGCCGCAGGCAGGCAGATTTCACTCTATCACAACCTTGTAAACTCAACGTATGTGAGAGATATTGGAGTATGAGATCTATGTTTCCTTTTATGATGTATGTCATGCCTTTTTAAAATGAGGAAAACAAGACTCTGAGATGCATCCTTCTGAAAAATGTATGTGGTGGTCTAATTTCCAGAGCACTTTTCGAGGCCGGTTCTGCCGGGCCATGTCTGGGGGGTTTCTCAGGAGACAGGGCTGTGGACTGTTCTGGCCCTGACCCCTGCAGGAGCCCTCATGCATCTCTGCAAAGGCAGGTACACGCCAAGACCCTCTAGTGAGCCTCCGGGCACCTGGCAGCAACAAGAACACAGACATTCCAGCATGCGGGCAGAGGGGGCCATCAGGAGAGGAGAGACACTCAGCCCCTTGTTCCCCCTCAGGCAGGCAACGGGGCCGGGTCCACTCCTGGGAACATCTTGGACGTCTTGACTCAGTACCGAGGCCTGTCCTGGAGGTGAGTGAGGGCACAGCCAGACCTTTGCCAAAGACCCCTGAGCATTCTAGAAAGCAATGCCTTACGCAGCAGGATAGGCTGCCTCACTCTTTTTCATGACAAACACCGAGGCATATAATTTGAGGACTGACCAGCTCCCCAAACCACTTCACTTCCCCACATAGGAGGCGAGACCTGAGCCACCAGGTATGGGGGAGAAGCCGTTCTCTTCCGTTTCTCCCCATGATGGGAACTCAGAAGGCAGTGGTCTGGGCAAGGGGTGGGCCACTGCCTTTGGAACCAGGGCTGTGCCCGAGCCTTTGCTGCCCAACCGTGTGTGGCCCTGGGCAAGTGACCTGACCTCTCTGAGCCCGTCTCCACATCTCTGATGCAGGCACAGTACTATACCCTGGGCATTATCTAGGACTAGCGAGAACGTGAGTGCCCAGCACTGTGCCTGGGCACAGCAGGTGCCAGTGGTAATGGCATTACTGAAGGGCCTCGGTTTACAGATGAGGAAGCAAGGCTCAGAAAGGGCAAGTGACCTGTCCAAGACCACACAGCCAGACAGCTCCTGCCCCCATCCCGTGCATGCAGCGTGCGGTACACAAATGGCCTCGTGCAGGCTTCATCCTGCGTGGCCCAAGAGGGCCAGGACGTGCATTTCACCTCCACGCTCTGAAAGGCCGGTTGGGGCAGGTCTGAGGATTCCTCACCTGGAATCGGGTATCTCCATGGACACCGGCGCTAGCACGCCCCCTTGTGCTGCCCACATGGGGGAGCCTTTCTGCCGTTCCCAGACACACTTGGCACAGGGCTGGGGGGGCATCCAAGCACTCAGGAATGCTAGCATCTCCCTGTCTAGAAACCACTCACCCTGGCCGTGTGGGATCTGAGCACTGGCTTGGAGCTGTGCACGCTCTAGTGATGCCTTTTACAAACGGCTTTCCCAAGCCAAACAAGATAACTGGGCAAACCAAACCCTTGGCAGGGGGCAGGGGTGCAGAGATGGGCTGCAGGACCACCTCCCACCCCTCACCCCTGCCTGCAGCCCCTTTCCTCCCTCCCATCCCCACCTGCAGACCCC